TCCTCCCTCTCCTAATCTGCCATCACCCAACTGATAGCTAATAGCTCATATACTATTTCTTAGTCACATAAACTGATATGGTCTTGGAAGTACCATTTAGTGTGTTATCTGCTTTATAGATAAAATGTACTAGCCTTCTATTTGGACATTTGAGCTGATTAGCATGTTCATTACTCTCTTCATGCTCTTCACTAGTAGCTTATGTAATACTGAGAATTTAACCTTTAATATGTTGATATTCCAAAAATAACTGGATGTGTTCCCTTGCTGATATATATATTATGATTCTTGATTGCTGATATGTATATTATGACTCTTGATTCTGCAGAAGACTTAAGGGACTTGATGGATGTTTTGACTGACCTGTGAATTCCATTTTATAAATGAGCAGCAACCCCCTGTCAATGCATTTATCTCTTTTGCTCTTAAAAAAATGTGTTTCCTTGCTGATCCTTCCTTTAACCCTTTCAGTTACAACACTTTCTCACCAGATATTGTGAGGAAAATGCCCAAGTCAGATCTTGTTGATGAGGTAAAGATGTATTTCTCGTTAGCATTTTTGTAATTGTTGTTTTTTCTATTAAAATTTTCTTCATTCAATTAAATTTTCAATAAATTAGAATCTTTATTGTGCTATTATTGTCTTGCGATTATCCTTTCAATTGTTTGCATAACAGATTTGGAGACTACAAGCTGCACTTAGTGAGCAAACAGAAATAACTAAGTTTAGCCAGCAGGAGTATGAAAGACTTCAAAATGTACTAGTCAAGAACAAGCTTGTTCTATTTATCTTAGTCTTTTCTTTAAGAAAGAAAAAATTGTTTACATATTACAATTGTTAGGATCTACTATTTACTTGCATATTTATTTGATAAATCTTTCAGGACAAGATTCTGTGTCGAGTTTGCTTCGAAGAGCACATCAATATCGTACTTCTTCCTTGCAGACATCATGTGCTTTGCAGGTATTTGCATTGATTCATTTGTTTCTAATGTTTCTAATGAGCAGAAATTTTTGTTGTCAAAAAGATTCTTAATTTAGGTGAAAAAAAGAGATGAATCTGAAGCCCAAATGTGGATGAATATTATTTGACGGTGTAATTAATGGCTTAAAGAGAGAAGTAATCTTGAGAGTTTGTGCCTCTCGTGAACTTCAGGAAAACTAGTTGGTTTGAGTAAACAATGCCAATAGATACTTCAAATTCCTGGCCATTGAACTCAATTCATTCGATGGTACTAGAAGGGGAGCTTTGTGAATTTTTCTGGTCTATGGGGCATGAAGCAGAAGATTCAAGTACGAGAATTGACTCTTGAAAATGTCATTGGGCAGAAATGGGAGAAGGAACTTCTTGGAACTAAGTAGAATAATGGTCAAAGGAGAAGGATGTCATTTCTATAAGTCATTGAGGCAAATGGATGATGACGGTTGTTTCCAATTGTTTGTTTAGTTTGCATGTTAAGCTTGGAAGAGGGGCAGCATGAGGTGGGGGAAAACTAGTTTGGTTGGATAAGAAATGATAGAAGTGAGCTTGTTTTTTGCAAGTTCTTCTGTTCTCGGGTTCATAACTCGTGGAGCAGAAAATCCAAGTTGGAGGACTGAACCCAATGCCCAGAAGGATTAATCTTTCTCCATAACTTATCCACAATTAAAGGGGATACCATGGAGAACAATTTTTAAATAAAAAAGAAAAGGGGTACTGTGGAGAAGTTTGAAGATTTTGTGGAAACAAATAAATTTGCAATTAGCTTTAATCCGCCTCTTTTATTCCAAGTTCGAAGGTGGAGAAGTGTATTTTAAGGATTTCAGGACCATTAGCCTAGTGGGATTTTTCTGCAAGCTTCTTGCGAAGTCCTTGCCCATGGACGGGATCATATAGGTGGTAAGCGAAGCTTAAAAAATTGTTTGCTGGAAGGAGACATTAGTGTTTAATAAGATGGTGGATGCTGCCAGGAACAAGGGAGAATTCAGTTTGGTGTCTAAGTGGATGTAGGAAAAAGTTATAATCATGTATTGTTATTGTTCCTCTTCTCATAGACTGCATCCTTTTGACAATGGTCTTTGGAGATAAATGATGCATCTGGATCTCCCCATGCTTTTGGAGGCTTCTTTTACCGTGGTCCTAAATGATGGACTATCCAAATTTTTTAATCCATCTAGGAGTCTAAGGCAAGGTGACAGCAATCTCTTTTCTTTTTCACTCGTGTTATATGAAAGCTTTTAATTAACTTTTACTCTGAGTGGAGGATGCAAATTTGATGAGGCTTTGTGTGGAGAAGGGGACCAACTGGTGGACATAACCCAACTTTTATTTGTTGGCGAGACTATCTTTTTTTGAGATATTTATAAATTTGTTCTTGGGTTGCACCGACATGGTGCTCTTTTAATTATATCCCCTTTCTTCTTCTTCTCATATATATGTATTTGCACACACATCACAGAATGTTTATGGTACTTCACCCATTCTACTCTTTGCTCTTCTGGATTTTATGATTTGCTCATTTGTTGATCAATCTGGATTTCAGCACGTGCTCGGAGAAATGTAAAAAATGCCCCATATGCCGCGTCTGTATTGAAGAGCGACTGCCCGTATACGATGTGTAGTTTCAACATTTTGTAGAAAGTTTGGAAGCCTGAACTTCGTATCCTTGCTTCTGATTTTAAACCGAAGCAAGCATTGAGAAGCTGCCAGTCATGGTTTCTCTTGTTCATGCTGTTATATTAGTGTAAACAACATTGGGTTCAATTGTAAATTTATCATGCAATTCAATTAAATTTAAGTTGTTTCCCCCAAATTTTACTTTTAACCTTGTCCACCCACGGTACATTTTCACTTCAATTTGCCAAGCTTTTAATCCCTCTAATTGACGTACATATATATATATATATATAATTAATTGTAATGAAAATAAGGTTTAGAAAATAATATAATAAAATAATAAATGAATTTAAAAGTAATTTCTCTTAATAAGTGGATATTTACCCAAGTACTAATATAATTAGTAATATCATAAAATTTATAATTTCTGTCATAAAATAAAAAGAAGATTATTTAATTAATTCTAACACCAAACTATATCAATCTACCACCCACCAAACAGTCTTCCTTGATTCCAAATTCATATTCACATCACAGGGGTTTCTGACCCGTTGATGATGTGGGACCAGTAATCACAGAGAGTCAACGCGAGTCTTCTTATACGACCGAGGAACACCGGATACTTCCTCCCCCCACTCTTGCTTGACCAATGAATTGGCGCCTTTAGTTTACTTTTTTAATCCATGGAAGACAGCAATAAATCCGTTTCGAATTTCAAAATCATTAAGAAAAAATTATAAATTTTCCTCTCAAAACAATTATAACTTTATCATTTTCTCCCCCATAATTTACTGTCCCCAGACAAAGGGAAGCAGCAGAGCAGACGAAGAGTTGGACAGTTTTCTGCCCCTCTGATAACTACTAGTTTCTCTCATGTCTCGGTAAGTTGTATATCTTTCATGGAAAACAAATCGCATTGGGTTTGTGTTCGTGATTTTGATATGGGTATCAGAAAGCATCTTCTTTTTGTTTAAAGCATGAAATAAGAATAAAGAGTTTGTGGCTTTTGATAAACTACAGTTGTTTGAATGTTGGCCCCTCTGATAACTACTAGTTTCTCTCATGTCTCGGTAAGTTGTATCTTTCATGGAAAACAAATCGCATTGGGTTTGTGTTCATGGTTTTGATATGGGTATCAGAAAGCATCTTCTTTTTGTTTAAAGCACGAAATAAGAATAAAGAGTTTGTGGCTTTTGATAAAACTACAGTTGTTTGAATGTTGGTTGGAAAATCTTCTTGGTTTTTCCCTCACATCGAAAGATCGGTTGGTATTCTTTCTTTGTAACCGTATGGGCACTTGAATTTGTAAATTTCTTTTCTTTTCATCTAAATTTTTCTGCTCTTTACCTAGATTTTGATCTTTTTTTTGTGTTTTTTGGTGTGGGTTTCTGGGTTTAATCGTGGGTTGATTAATGCAACCTGATTTGTGATTTTAGCAAATAGTTCTTGATCAAGTTACCCACTTTAAGCATTTGCTGGACCACCTTTTTTGCTCTCCTTTTCTTATCAAGTTGAGGTAAACTGTAAGTGGTGTGATTCAGTATAGTTGCTTGCTAGGAGACGAGCATTGCCTATGGATGTATCTACTATAGTGTTATCTCATATTTTTTAGGTGTTGCTGTGGCATTTAGTACATTGAGTATCTATATTAATTGTCGGGGTAAATTGTAGATTATACAAAGTGATGTTAGGATCAAAGATGAAGTCGGAAAGAACAAACTTGGTATTAGTTTTTACCTTATTCTCAACTATGGTTTTTTTTGTGTGAGTTTCAAACAAAAATTACATTAGGTGACTTTTCTGAGCTTCTGCATTTGGTCATACTCATGGTCAAGCTGGAATGTATTGGATGGATCTATTTTTAGCCAAAAACTAAGCTTTATTTAGTGTGTTTGTTTGCTGCTCGTCATGGTATGTCTCCAACAAAGCTGTGGCTTCTTCTATTAAGTAAAGGTTTTATGATTTTACTTATAACTGGTTTGGAACCACATCTCTAAGTGGAGATTTTGGTTTCATTTTAATCTTGTGAAGGTGCTGTTATTTTATAAAATGTTCTACTTGCATAATTTTTATTTTTTTTCTAGTGGTCCATTTCCAGTTTCCTTAGTTGGACATTAGAAAGTTTGCACCTTGAAGTGTTTGTTTCTAACCATGTATGTTGTGGAGGAACTGAAGCTTTGCTTGGTACTGAACTGATAAATGAAGTGCTTCAGAAGCGTCTTCTATGATGCAGGTCAAAGTGTACTGTATGTGTATGCAGTGTACATGTAGATTTATCTGTATAAACCGTCTGAAATATGTATCTTCTTGAACAAAAAGTTGTTGAATATTTGTACATTTGAGACATTTTCTATTGTGATTGTAAGCGTTTTGGTTCAAAGTTTTTCTTTCTGGTGTTTTGTTGCTCTGACATAGACACTAAAATAATGCAGATTGATGTTTGAAATTGATCAAGTTCGTAGTTATTTCTTTCTGATTTTCTTTCTTTTGAGGAAATTGTATTATATTTTTTACTAGCATGTTGAATGTACTCCAACTGATGGATTTTGGAGGAGCCTAGAGTAACAATAGACTGAGAACAGTTTATGCCTTTCAATAATGAGTTACTGATTGCAGTATAAATTCATCGGTATTTTTCTCACCATATGATAAACGTGTAAATTTGTAAATTTTTATGTCATGCATGTACAATCGTTATATTTTTTAACAAGAACGGACTTGTCAACTACAATTTCCATTTGACAAATTGCACTTTATTTATGAATGTTAATTTTGGTGTTGGGGATACAGTGATGAGGGTATTGATGTTCATACATATTGCTCTATGTTTTTGTCATTAATGGAGGTTGACGGATTCTTGATTTCATATTAATTTTAGATTCAGAGCTGAGTATGTTCACGACAATTGTTCCAGTTTGGAAAAAATAATTCTGATCATATGAATATGTTGTGCAATATGCAGACCTACATGGTTGGTGGATAGTAACAGAATTGCAACAAAAATCAAGAGTGCCTCTGGGTCAAGTGATCCACAAAGAGTAACATGGAAAAGCAACCCAACTAGAGCTTGTCCAAATTGCCAACATATTATTGATAACAGCGATGTAAAACTTCCAACTTCTTTACTCCTCAGTTTTAATCCTCTAATAACGTAGAAGATTATGTTGATTGGTCAATTGTGCATAGATGAAAATGTGAAGCCCAGAGTTCAGACTCTGATTCTTTTTTCTTTTATATATATTTTTAATTTTTTAGGTTTGTCAACTACCACACAATTCCCTGCTATGAGCTTTGATTGAAATGGGATGTTTGAATGGGTTCTTCCTGGCTTTGATAAGCATTTAAACCCTATCTTTTTTTCAGGTTGTTAAGGAGTGGCCAGGATTACCTCGAGGTGTAAAATTTGACCCATCTGATCCGGAGATCATATGGCATTTGCTGACAAAAGTTGAAGAAGATTTAGAACCTCATCCATTCATTGATGAGTTCATCCCAACTGTTAAAGAGGATGATGGAATATGTTATACTCATCCTCAGAATTTGCCAGGTCGGCTATATGACTGTAACCCTTGTTTGTTTTACTGTGTGTATATATATTTAAATTCAACACATCCAATTAGTTTTTCTTTAAATTTTAAAACTCAATATTATAGGAGTCAAGCAAGATGGGAGTGTATCCCACTTCTTCCACAGAGCAATCAAGGCTTATAATACTGGGACACGAAAGCGTAGGAAGATCCATGGTGATGTTTCTGGTGATGTCCGCTGGCATAAGACTGGAAGGACTAAACCAGTAGTTCTGGATGGGGAGCAGAAAGGATGCAAGAAAATTATGGTTCTCTATATGAGCTCTGCTAGAGGAGGAAAAGCTGAAAAAACTAATTGGGTTATGCACCAATATCACCTAGGAACACAGGAAGATGAAAAGGAGGGGGAGTATGTCATTTCTAAAATATTTTATCAGCAACAGCAACCAAAACAAAATGATAAAGGGGAGCTAGATTTTCCAGTCACCGATAATACTACGATTCCTAAAGTGGATCCTGTCACCCCAATGTCCGTGACTCCAGACCCTCCACGTGTGGAAAGGTGTTCTGAGTTTCTTTTGGAACAAGAGTCCACCGCCATTGACGTGGATATTCCTGCACAGGTAAAACTTGTTCCTTTTTTTGAAGTCTTCCTTCTCCGAGTTGTTAGTTTGGTGACATATTTGCTATGAGTCAGTTCATTTTCAAGAGTTTGTAATATAATCCCTGGATATTTTAGCAAATGCTCATGCCAAATCATATATGATGTCTTTCCTCACCCTTTTTATTCTTAGGCTGCTTCATTTAAGCATCCTGAGACAGATTGCATAGAGGAGGAGGTTCAACCTGACAGCGAAAGACCTAGCTATACTAATCAACTGAATAGAGAAAATCAAATAAATCAGATGGCAAACGACAATGAAGATCGAACTGATGAAGAACCCAAATGGTGGGACAGTGAATCACAATACTTGTTGGATTCACAGCAGCTGGTAGAAGGGCTGTCTCTGTGTGATGAGTTTCTTCAGAGCCAGTCTCCAAACAGGGAAGAAAATATCAACGAAGGGGGATTGAAGGGGAAACTGTGTCTTTCCGATTATGCTCAATTAGGAGCAGAAGATTTGAAAAAGGATTTGGAGGAGTGTCAAAATCTTGTCCTTGATCCAGCAAATATAGAACTCGATACACCACCTGAATTCCATCTGAGCCAACTTGTACCTTCTCTATTTCATAAATTTGTATTTCATTTTCGACTTATCAAATTTAGTTATTGGCTCCTTAAATTTTCTGATTCTGATGCATTTCTTTCGTGTGTTGTAGGAATTTGGATCACAAGAAAGCTTCATTGCTTGGGGAGGGGGCAAGATCATCGATTAAAATGTTCATCATGGGTAAATGTAAATCTTGTGGCCACCTTTGTGAAAATTTTGCTTGTTTTGTTTATCTCTTGATGAATACGAACTTGTGATATATTCTGCTTGGCCACTTAAACTGTAATTAACCACCGTGAAGTTATTCTTATTCCATCAGCTAAGGGAACTTCCACCACGAAGAATTGTTGTTATCTTTCTCATGTTTTGGGAATATAATGAAAATATGGTCTACCTCGCACTTGAAAACCTAGTGAGTAAAATATGCCCGGTATTACTTTTGCTTCGTGTCTGGAAGCTGGGATACTGTTGCTAGTCTCAATTTGCTATGTTTGAATTCAGTTTGTTGCTAGTCTCAATTTGCTATGTTCAAATTCAGTTTGATTTGGTTGCAGTCTGATGAACATCCTCAGTGAAGGTTACATTGAAGAGTTAACTATAGAAACTAATGTCCCCTTTGAAAAAATGTATTCCTAATTGGATGTTTTAAATTATATATATAATAAAAAATTAGTCTTTTATCTTTACATGTTAAAAATTCTTTTCAAATTTCTAGAAGGTTTACTGGATTACACATTGAAACAAATAAAGAAGTATATTTTGTTATCTGATTTAGTTTCCTTATAATTGTATACAATACTGAATTATAGATATATTGTTTGATTATATAGACAACAAAATCCAAGAGAAATTTCTGGAAAATCACTTCTATTGACTTACATGCCATATTTCTAAGCAAATAATCCAATGATTGATGGAAATAAATCATCTTGAACAATTCTTTACCATAATTGTATTTTGCATGTGTGTGTATATAACATATATATATATTATGTCAACTTGCTTAGCCACCCTACAAATTCCAAATCTTTATACTTACAAAGACTTAAATCTTTCCTTGGTTCTATCATAATGAAAGCCTTTTACTATAACTTCTTTCCGGCTAAAGCTGTTGAAGAAACCCTGATTGCTTGCAATGAACCCCACAAGGTAACTAGGGTTCTAATTGAAGCAAAAGATGTAAGCAATACTATGCCAGACATAGACCCCATTAATCCGTGGAAGATCCAAAAACTTATCAACTCAACTGATAATCACGAAATGGCATATTGGTGTTGTCACATAACGAAATGTTTGATCATGTGTTCAAACATTGGAGCTTAGCTATGGCAATCGGAAAAAAAATATTTTGTTGTCGTACTTGATTATATCTTGGTACCCATGAGATATCAAGGTGAGAGTATTTATGTTGAGACGAAGCCTAACGAGATATACGTGCTTGTTTGTATGGAATTGTTTCGTAACTAACTACCTAAACTTAGAAATGAGATCGATTTATTTTATAATTTAAGGTTTGGAATTTTTGGATTTTAAGTTATTTTAGAATTGAACTTTTATTCGTTGAATTTATTAAATTTTATCCTCAAATATAATGTAAGTATTACTTTTTCTATTCAAAACTATCATCTTAAGAAGCTATTCAAAAGAAATACATAATAAGCATAAAACTTCTTTCAAGGGTTTGATTGAAAAAAAAAAGATTTAAATAATAAATACTAACAATAGTTATAAAAAGTATGTAATTAAATAATAAAATTCTGCCGTGAAATATTGGTTTTTGAAAGAATGAGAGAAAATGCATTGTGCATGTACATCCAAAGCCCAGAGCTTTGCGAACCCAACCCACCAAAATAAATTTATTGCAAGTTTGAGGCAATTAATAAAACTGGTGCAGAAAAGTAGAAACTTGCAGCACTGGAATTTCTGCAATGAGGAAATTTCAGAGATTCCTCTCGATCCCGGTCCTAGGTGTGTTTCTGCTGATGGGTTTTGTGTATTACGTCACGGTTTTCGTATTCATTGAGGACTGGGTCGGGTTACGTAGCTCCGCTGGAGCTTTGAACGCTTTGATCTTCAGTTTCTTAGCTTCTCTCTGTATTTTCTCCTTCTCTGTCTGCGTTGTTACCGACCCAGGCTATGTTCCTTCCTCTTATGTTCCTGATGTTGAAGATTCTGGAATTTCTGGTCAAGAACCAACCAAAAATGTGAGTTCATTTAGATAAAAATCTCTCTTTTAATTGTTTTATTTATGGTATATTCGCGTTCTTTGTTTTTATTGGGTTCTGTTTGGTGCGATGAGAATGGTGAGGAAGAAGTATGGAAATGAAATTGTTGGATATCGTGTTACTTCTTGTTCTGGGTTGCAAGTTGCTCGAAAGATGATGCTATTTTTTAATTCATAGATTCTCTTTTTTTTTCCTTTTAAAAAATTACGATGTATAAATAGTTTTCTTACTGTGCTGGTTGATTCGTAGTTGTGGTATTAGTTAGTCAGAGTTATTGAAACTAATATTCTCTGTGTGTGTGTGTGTGCGTGTGCGTGTAATGTTCTCGAGCAAGATGAACACTTAGATGTGAGTTCCCCAATTTGCTTCTGTGTTTTGAGGATGAAAACGTAGCTAGAATAAGTCAAGTTCAAGAGGGTATTTCAGTTGTAATGTTATTTCGAAAAAAAGTATTTCAGTTCATTTAGTTTGAAATATCACCTTCTAAGTTCACATCTTACCAAACAACCAAGTAAGAGGTGGTGCGAGTATAGGTGGCTTGTATTCAAGAAGCATGCACTGGATTCAGTAATTGTTTGAC